CGCTGCCTAAGTAGACGGCTTGTGCTTGCTGGAAAAGCTGCCCCTTCAAACGGCTGAAAAGACAAATGAGCACAGGGCCTCCCACCCAAAAACCAGCTGCTTCAAAACCCAGTGCTGTTGGACGCTGGTGCACACTGGGCAGAAAGGGTGTCGTCATTCACCAATGTTTAAAACCCCTTCAGTTTTATCCACTCTGAATACAGTCTCGTTGGAAAGCCTGTTACCACTTCACCCCAGTATTCTGTGATTATGTCAGTTTTGTAAGTTTTACTGTAATCCCGTGGTTTGAAGGAACCTACCTGCTGGAAAGTTTCCACCTCAGGTCTGGTTTGTCGTTGCTGCCATTTTTAGTGGCCTGTTGTTGCGTTACCGTTCGCTGCCTTGCACAAACCAGTTTTATTTTCTTTCATCCTTTTTGCCGGTGGCCACGAATTGTGGCTCCCAAACAAGACGTCGCTGTTCTGACTTCCTCGTGGTTTCACTGGATGCTGAGACCCGTGCTCGAGACAGTGCCCAGGAGGTGAAGGATTTACACATCCTTTCAGGGGCAGAAGGGAATGTCTTCCTGGAGTGTTGCAAGAACTGGTTGATCGCTGTGGAAGGTTTTACTGCCATCCATGTTAAACTTCCTCCAAGCACTAAGAGCTTTAGGAGCTCTGAAGGTTTTTTCTGCAGCAACACAGGACTTTTATCCCAGCAGCTCAGGCAGCAGTGGTGCAGGAATGGTTCTGCAGGTAGAAGCAGAGAGCAGAGTAGCACAGGACACCAAGAGCAGGTGCTTCATTCCAAACACACATGAACACAGACCTCACCTCAAACTCTGTATTCCTAAATTTGCTGAAAATTTGTAACAAATACATTTAATTTCTCAGTGTAAGCAACTTCAGCATGGCCTAGCTCAAGTCCACCTGAAGTTCAGACAAGCCTTTAGCAGATCACACGGATGCTTGGCTCAGCGTTCTGTTCCGATTATCAGTGGAGACCTTTGGCTGAATTATTTGTGACTTTTTCATTCTTACCTTAAATATGAACCTGCTCTCTCCTCACACAACCATCTATTTTAGAGCAGCAGTCTCAAAAGAACCTGCAGGTCTCTATCTCACCTTCCTTTCACATGCTGTTATTAGCTTCTTACTCATTGTTACATTCAAGGGAACTGCAATATGACAAGAAACTAAAAAAAAATAAATATATAATGCTTATAAAGCTTCTTACTAGTCAAAGCTTCATTGAGTCATATCAGCAAGGTAAGAATCACAATTAGAACCTGGACTTTTTTTCCTGCAAGTTAATTTGCTTCTCAGAAAAAGTACTAAAGGTTAAATGATTTCTATAAATTCTCTGGACGTGAGATATTGTTTCACTTCAGAATCCTGACTGCTAAACAGTGCTCAGAGAAGCACCAGTATTGGGAAGAGAGCAGCCTCATCTCTTACAGAGACAGACAGACACTTGGGAACACTTTTCTCAATTACAGATCTCAACTGGAGAACAAAAACATTTCCAGCTTCTTTCTTCAGCCTTCAAAACAACCGCATCTCACACCACGCTGTGCTCTTCCCTTGGGGTACCTCCAGGGGTTTGTGTTATCTAACATCAGCGCCACAAGCAGCAGCTCCTGGACGTGCTGATGCCAAGATACAGAGATGGAAGGGTGGGAAGAGGAAACCTGACGTTTTGGTGCTTTGTGTCAGGCAAAATGAGCTTTCCTCAGAAGCTGGCAAGAGCAGCTTTTTTAAAACTGAGGCAGAGCAGCCGTTCTGTTTCCCCGGGGCAGGCAGAGCGAGGCACTGCTCAGGACAAGGCTGTTCTCAAGCGTTGTGTGCTGCCTGCTGACACTTCTGTGGTGGTGACGGGCCACGTCTGGGGACAGGACACCCAAAATGCAAAGGGCACTCTGCCAGGCTGTGCTCACAGGTCTGGGAGCTGCAAGTGCTCATCATTCCTTCCTGTAACGATGGGAAAACGCCCACGGCACCCACAGGTACAATACCCCAGCGACCTCCAGCAGATGTCCCACACTCACCTCCAGCCTCTGGTGCTGCAGGGACAAGAAATGGACCAAGAAAAACAAACCTTCCTTTGGGGAGTACCGAGGTTATATTTTGCCTATGCAATTATGTTTAAGTCCTAAGCATGTTATTTTGCTCCCCATTAAATGCTGTCTTAGAAACCACTATAGAAACTGGACTGGGGCTTTTGTCACCAAATGTGAAGAGTCATTTCTGACCACCTAAATTTGCAGCACAATGCCAAAAAGGTGGATTAGCCAAAAGAGTTATGGTTCTACTTTGTATTCCTACCTTTAGCTTCTGCCTGTTAAAATGTTTCCACCGTTATCAATGCCACCTAAAAATAATTACAAAATTACTTCTTTCCAGTTTATCCAACAGGAAACCCCCCATTAAATCAATATACAAGTCAGATGGTGATGAATACAATATTCTAAACTGGATTTATTGTTTCCAGACATTAATGTCATACATAAACACATTAAAAGGGGGGATATAGTAACAAGCAACCCATTAACAGAAACAAAGCAAGTCTTTGAAATTTTTGTTCTATACTTACACATGAAAACATCCCCAAAAGTTAAGTAGTTGTCAGTCAACATAGCAAGGATTTCAGATATAAAAAAAAAACCAAACTCATTAATGAGTCTGCCATAACCAAAATGTTTTGCTTTTCCCTTTATTTACTTACTTATTTTAGGATAAAAAAAAAAAAGAATAACCATTACCTCATGCAGTGTACAAAGGCTTTAAAATAAAATCTATTAATGCAAATGAAAGACTAACTCCTGAGGCTTTTTTTTTTTTTCCTGAAACATCAAAAAACACCCTCAAGGAGTTTCACAATATTAATTTCAACAAGTTTTCTTAAACCCTTTCTTAGCACTGAAGAAACCTGTAACTTCCTTGCACTCCACGAATTTATTCTCTTCCAATACAAACGTAATATAACTTGTAATATAACTAAGAGCTCTTTAATTTACAACAGCTTCAAATGAAATGAAGTGCAAAAATGTTTTCTTAGTGTTTTCCAATTGTTGAGGTAAATAGTTGGGGAAAAAAAAAATACAAAAAAAAAAAAAAGGTGGGTAGCAGGGTATCAATCATAGGTACCCCAGGTGGAAAAAAGGGACATCTGAAGTACAGGGTTACGGTGCACAAGGGAGGTGGGGAAGAAGGACTGAGGAAGAAACAACAACCACCAACAGTTCCCCAGCAGAACTTGAACCCAAAGCCCTTGAAATCCCCCCGGGCTGGCAGGACAATGGTGATGGTCACAGCTGACTGCCTGGCAGTGCCCAGAATGGAAAGGCTGCCCCAGCAGCTGCACCACACCGCCACCCACCACACAAAGGGAGCAGGGGCTCCCAACCACAGAGCTCTAGCTTCTGCAGGGAACCATCCAGCCTGCGGCACACGAGAGACCCAGTTAGCAAAAGGCGTTGTAAAAAAGTAGAAAAGTCGCTTTTAAAAACTTCCTAAAAATTTCACTTGGGAAGGAGGACCATTAACCTGTGGCCTGGCATTGTGAGGATCACTGAAGGGCTTGTGTCAGATTGCTGGTGATGACTCCTCTGGGGTCAGGGGTGCCTCTGCCAAGCGCCCCAGGGTGAATGCCTCAGAACTGGCCAGACAGTCGGAATGTCGGTATCTGCAGCAGCATCAGCTGTGTTTGTAGAGGGTGGACTAGCACTTGGGCAGAAATCTCTTCCCTTGGCATGCAGGGGGTGGTCTGACAAGGGATGGAAGAGATGATGCCGTTCAGTCCCACTGTCTGGATCCCCAGCACAAGTTGGGTTTCCTCCTTCTGAACCTGCCTCGCTGGGGATGGTGTTCAGGTGCATGCCCGATGAGCCCTGGCTTCCAGTCCCTGCCAAACCCCTCAGAAAAGGCTACTCATGTGAAAAGACATTCTTTTGAACTTGGAAAAAAAAAAAAGGAAAGAGGAAAGCATGATATTAGCCCTGATAAAGACCTAAGTTGCTGTTCTTCACGATTACTGAACTCAAATTAATCATCCTGGGTTAATAAGATTTTTGGCAGCAGACAACCCCAGTATAGGCCCCAGCTCATGCAGGCTACTAGCCATGACCACTGTGAGGTTTGAGTTAAAAGTGGCTCCCAGCTTCTACAGCCTCCAAGGGCTGGGAAGGGACATCTTGCTTCACCAGAAAAATCCCCCTGCCATTTCTGCCCACCATCTCTGTATTCAGCAAACCCCAGACTCACAGGGAGCTCTATCAGTTCCATCTGCTTTGAAGCCCAAGGCCAATTGTACAGTTTCCATCCAAATCCTCAAATCTTCTTTCAAGTTCTACGATAGATATTTTTTTTTTCCCCCTCATTCTGGGGCCTGTTTTAAAGCCCAAGAAAAACTTGTTATCGTGTTTAGGTATGAGAAGTGCTGCAGTGAGGGATGCAAAAGTCAAGTCCCCTTCCCCAGATTTCAAAGTTCACAATGCCATTGACCCAAGCCCAAGTCAATCCCAGCTACTCTTTACCCACGCAGTAAGGTCTGTATCTGCAGAGTACAGAGCAGTTATTTGCTCTTGAGCTGATCTGACCTGCATTCACCAGAAGCAATATTCTCTTTGAGCACTCACGTGCTCCAGAAATCTGACACTGACAACCCAAGAAGTATTGTAAATTGAATTTAACGTTACAAAAGCTCAAGATTTACAACACTGAAGACCCATTTCATTTTTTTTTTCTTAGCAGTTCTTCTGAACTCCTTTGAACTGCTCTGTAAGTTCAAACCAGACACTTACTACTCCCTCTCCTCCCCCTTGACATTATCGTCTCAGCCACAAATTCAACCTGATTTTTAAAATGCTGCTATAATGTGGTGTATGTGGAAAAGCCATGATCCACAGAAGTGAAGGACCGAGCCTTAACATTCAGGAGAGCAGCACAATCTCTCTTGCCATATCACCCCTTATAGAGTCGGAGGCGTTGGTTGTGGGTTTGTTTTGTTTTGTTGTTGTTTTTACCTTAAACATGAACTCAATCTGCAAACCACATTCAAATGTACATTTTCTGAAGCTTCAGAATATGACTCCCCCCCCTACCCCCTTTAAAAATAAAAAGAAAGAATCTAGGTTAGATAGAAACGATTCAATACAAAGTCCTTTTGGAGCCCACCATCAAAGGGTGGTTATCCAGAAGTAGTCATCTGCCTCGGTCTTGATGTTTTTTTGTTTTTGCCTTTTTCTTTTTGTCCTCTGTTTTGGGTTTCAACGCGCAAACGCAGGCGGACACGCCAGCGATGGCTTTGGGCAGGTCAGTTCCTTTGGACCACTTGTTTTTCTCCTTATCATAAACCTGGACCGTTTTGGAGAAGACCGTTTCTTCCCAGCTGTAGCCTCCGAGGATATAAATCTTGCCTTCCCACACGGCCACCCCTGACTCACTGTTTGCCTGCAGGAGGGGAGCCACCCTGGTCCACTGGTTACACTGGGGGCTGTAGGACTCCACGCTGAGGATGTCGAACCGAGCCATGGTTTCGATGTTGTCGTCGCTGCCCCCGATGGAGTAGATGTTGTCCTGCAGGGTGCACATGCTGTGCCACCCCCGGGCAGTGATCATGGGCCTCTTCTCCTCCCAGACGTCCGTGCGGTGGTCGTAGCACAGCAGGTTCTTCCTGTAGGGGCCGATCTGGTAGTCGTGGCCTCCCGAGATGTACACAAATTCCTTGTAGACCGTCCCTGCGTGGCCGTAGGTAAACCTAGGACAGGGAGGCAAAGGTGACCTGACTTAGTGCTTAGGGGCTGTGTCGAGATACACAAGCATTCAGCGTGGTGCTAGAGAAGAGAATGAACAGTAACTAAAGACAGCAGAATCCCTAATCCTGCCAGTTACCCAGTAACTATGGCTGTTCTCTCTGCTCCACCCTGCCCTGCAGAGTGCTGCTGCACAACAATCACTTTTTACAGCACCCTTTTCATACCTGGTCACTACAGAGTACTAAGGTATAACAAGCACTTTGTAAGGCAACCTCTACAGTGTGTCACACAACAGCAGTAACCCATCCTGCTCTAGATGGCATGGCCTTCACTCCCATTTTCCTGCTCCAGTGCTTGGGTTGGATCAGTCTGAGAGGGCCAGAGAGGAAAAAATCCACATCTCAGCAAGGGTTTCTATGACAGAAAGGAAATAATCATGATACCTCTCAGACTTACCAGTAGCCATCAACCAAGAAAAACCAACATGAGAACTGCTGCTGCCTTCCCCTTCCACAGCTGCAGGATCATGGACCGTGTTTCTCACCCATTGGTGTTCCCAGCCCAGTTTATTTGCAGCCATGATAGATGTAGTGTCCTTCTCACGAGCCACCCATCTGCTCTACCACTTCTGCTCCACGGGTGACAGCCTCTTTGGTCACCCCAAGAGAAGGCAACAGGTGTCAGTTAATCAGAGATCAGAGCCCACGTTTGAAATAAGAGAGCAGGAGATGGGAGAACCAACATCATACACACTGTTTCCACAGGGCAGAGAGAAATCCCCTTTGATCAGCTACAGCAAAGCCACTACAAACCTAATTCTTGAGGCTGTTCTTAACTTCACAATAGGTTATTCCTGACCAAACCCCTTTGAGCTCTTAGAATTGGAATGCTAAGGTGAGGGACAGCCTCGGCTTCTTTTAAACATACCCTTCCTGCTTTTTTAATGCCTTTTTTCATTTTTTTTGGGTGTGGACTGTCAAAAGATGTAGCTGCAGCACCGGCCACAGCAAACCAGCTCACACACTGGTACAAAGAGCCCAAACAATTTAATACCCATAGGGCTGCAGAGCAACATGCTCATTGTGCTGCGCTCACGAGCCTCTGCTACCACCCTTTGTAGTCAAGGACTCAAGACAACTCAACCTCCATGGCAGACAAACCAACGCTGGCATAAGTTTGGCTTGGAATGCTTTTGAACCATGCCTGAACACGCTGGCAACTCAACGTGGCTAGAACCTTGAGCTGGTTTTATTTCACATGGTAATAGTTTCTCCCAGCTGCACAAACAGCATCGTAACTTCTTCCACAGACCTAAGTGCCAAGCACTTTTGTGCCAAGGGAAAAGGAATCCCACATTTACCCCGAAAGCACAACCCTTCTGAGAAAAGCTAAAAGATGTTTATTATTCTAGATGCCTGCTGAAGCTTCTGATCCCTGACCGGTGTCTGAATCAGGTTATTGGAACAGGCTCCTGCTACAAGAAACACAAATCCTTGACACACTTGGCCTAAGAATGCCAAGTGCCCAGGACAGCCCTTTCAACTATAAGGGCTGAAGCACCATCTCTGGAGACCTTGCAGAGATGAATTCAAAACTGTGCTGCTGCTTAGCCACTCAGGAAAAAGAAAGAAAGAAAGGAGAGAGGACTAAGGCATCGTAATGAAGCTTTACCCAAAAAGGCAACACAAGAGGTGTTGATGTAGGTGAGATGTTTTCCTACACTAACTGTGAAGTGGAATTCTGTACAGGTAAGCAAGCAACAGACATTTTCTCTCAGGCACATGCATGCAGTCTAGGAAAGAGAGAGAAAAAGCACTGATGCTTCTCTCTTTGCCTCAATCAATGGCTATGTCTAGTGAACAGCAATAACTACAAGAGCAATTTGAAAGAGGCAATCCTATCTGAAGCATTAAATCGACCACGCTCTGTTATCCTCCAGCACAGGGAGACTACCCGTTGCGATCCACTGGAGGGGTTTCACTTTGAATGACTTCTGAAAAGCTCATCCAGAATTGCACACCCCCAGCTCCACAGTCCTAGAAAACTGCCTGAGATATAATGCACAAACTGAAAGCAATCAATAAGAATCCTTTCTGCAAGCCTGAGGGTTTGAACAGGGGTGTTTCTAAACCCACAACAGAACAGGAGGCTTCAAGACAGCGGGTCCAGACATCCTCCAACAGAAAGGATCAAGCCTTTTGGCAGGGCTATCTATATGAGTGGCCAGAACAAGACAGAGGCATTAAGGAGAAAGAAGTTTTGACTCAGAACATCTGCTAGAGCCAGCTGCCGATTTCAAATAACTTACCCAGATAAAATGCTGCAAAAATGACAGTTTCTGACACAGTAACACCATTCATTTAATGCTCAAAAATCTACCATTTATTTCCTTAAACAGAACAACCCTAGGCCTAACTGTGAAGCTTTGGGAATCCCCTACTCCAACCGAAGTCCAGGCGAGCTGTGGTTGCTCCGAATCTCTGTGTCCACCTGTGGCAACCCTGGGAGATCATTCATGACACAACTAGCAGAGCAGATACCATCGTTTGTGAACCTGTTCCAGCACATCTCCTCCTACAGCAGCTTTCAGTTGTTCTGCCAAACTTTAACCTAGGGCCACTCAATTAGTTTCACTGATGTCTGCAGCAGACTTTTTCATGGTCTATGCAAGATGAGAACACACTGCACAACTTCTACTCTGCCAAGCTTGTCAGCCACTGGTGCTCCCTTCCGGGCTAGAAACTATGGCAGCAACTGCTCCCAAAGAGCCTGGGAAAATGGTGAAAAAAAATATAGAACCTCCCTGAAGAAGGGGAAAGGTATCCCACAGCCAAGGACCTGAATGAGAGTCAGGCAAAACTCACTTGTAGCAGACTTGGACCAGGTCCACCCTTCAGATAACTTGGCTGGAGTTTTCCACACTGAGCATCTGCCTCAAGAGCCCGTGTTTTCTTCTTCAGTAAGACAGCATTACTTTAGTCAAAACAGCGCAGCTCCTTCCAAGAAAGTGTTTGGGGAAAACAACATGTTGTTTTGACCATGTTGGGTGGGGAGGGGGCAGGAAGAAGAAGAGATTAAAACAAGTTTGCAAAGCTCTCCCTGGGAGGAGCGCGGCTGTGCCTGCGCACAGCGACTCGGGCACAGGACTGGGCAGCAGACAGGAGGCACAGACACAACCACTGCCCTCCCCCTGGAAACCTCCACACGCATGACAAGCTGCAATCCTTGGGGAAAAAACCACAAACCCAACATTTTCTGCATGTCCAGAGCAGAAGCTTTAACAAATCTAACCTCTGAGAGTCCCACCCCAGCTGGCTCAAAGGGAACTACGCCAGCCTGCACCCCAGGATGACCTCAGCATGTGCCTGTCACCCCAGGGAACAGTCTGCCAGGCAGCTGCTGGCTTGGAGCAGTCAGAAGGAACCCCAGGAGCCTGCAGCTGGTGGCCACGCACCCAAGAGGACAAACCACCTGCATGTCTTCTCTTCAGAGGGAAGGATACAGAAAGCTGAAGGAAACAAAGCAGCTACGCTGGGACACGTTGACTGATCAGGCAGTTGGGAAGCAGGGGATTGGAGCTTCTGATTTCCTGTACATGAGGAGAAAAGACTTGCTGCTGGAATAGGGCTGGGGAAGACATTATTTAGGTAAAAACAATAACTAAAATCAGCCCAAGGAACAAAAGCACATGGTGGGGAAGAAAATGGAGATCAGATCAAGAGTACATTGAAGGGAAGACAGGAATACACAGACAGAACTGTAGCTGGCATGCTTGCTTCTAGTCGTGTGTAGATCACAAAATTCCCTCACATCCTTCCTCTGCTGCCAGCAAATCCACCTGAAGTACATCAGGAGAGGACAGCCCACATCCCTTCCAGCAGCCACCCACACCTGCCAGAGCCCCAGCTCTGAGCTCAAGCAGCATTCTCTTGCCCCTGTGCTCAGAAGGCTTTTTTTCTGTTCTCCTCTGCACTGATTTTTGCCTTTTGCAACCTGCATAAAAGGCCTTTTGGCTTTATTCCTTCTGCATACAAAAATGGTTGTTGCAAACAATTTACTGCCCAAAGCAAGAGTTCTCCAGAAGGAGGAAGAGAGCTGAAAAGACAGAAACCTGAAGGTACTAAGTGTCCATGAAGATCTAAGTAGACAGGCTGAGAGAGCTGGGGTTGTTCAGCCTGGAGAAGAGAAGGCTCTGAGGAGACCTAATTGAGGTTTTTCAGCACCTAAAGGGGGGCTATGAGAAAGATGGGAACAGGCTTGTTAGAAAGGCACGTAGTGGGAAGACAAGGGGCAATGGCTTTACACCAAAAGAGGGTAGATTTATGTTAGATATAAGAAAGGAATTCTTCACTGTGAGGGTGGTGAGACACTGGAACAAGTTGCCCAAAGAAGCTGTGGATGTCCCATCCCTGGAACTGTTCAAGCATAGGTTAGACAGGGCTTTGACCAACCTGGTCTAGTGGGAGGTGTCCCTGCCCGTGGCAGGGGGGTTGGAATGAGATGATCTTTAAGGTCCTTTCCAATCCAATCCATTTCCTGATTCTATATTAACAGTCAAGAAAGCAGCTCCATGGAAAAGCAAGAAACTATCCAGTTCTCTACACAGCTGCACAGACACCTGACCTGGCACAAGGCAGGGAGGACAGAGAACTGTTTTTCTGGGATGCAGCAGTAACTTGTAGCAGTGACTGTAGCACAGCCTGCCCTCACAGGTCAGCAACCACCTCAGTCAGTCTGCACCATAACAGGAGCTTTTGCCTGGCCCAAGAGGGTCCAGCCAGGCAACCTAATAAAAAATAAACATCCCCCCACATCAAACCTCACTTTCAAATGCTGCAGCTGCAAAATTCCCAAAGCCAACACACAGGTAGGAACAGGCAGACAAACTGCCCCTTTCCAGACAGCTTACACTCTACTTGGCTTAAGCCAGCCATGTGAGCTTCCCCAGGATCATCTGTCCCTAAAAATATCCATACCTGTTGTAAGGTGGTTTTCCTCACAACATACAAGGCAGTCGGGTCACATTTTCATTTCTTTGAAAACTAGTTAAAAGGAAAAAAGACTTAAAACCTGTGCTACAATTTCTCTGAGATGTCACTGGGATCCCACAGGTCTGGGTCACCCCAGTTAACAGGAGGGTGTAGGAACTGAAGATACTCTCCTACACAGCTTCCCAGGGGTGATGGTGTCTAGCCTCAACTGCTAGACCTGCCTGTGGGAGCAGAAATGAAACAGAAGCAAGCATCCTGCTCCTGAAGAGCACTGGAGCCCAGCTGTTAGCCTGGATCAGCCTCCCATTGCAGCATCTGCCCAAAATAGAACTGGGCAGCAGGCTCCGGAGCCTTCGCTGGCCACTGGTGGCTCTGCAGCGAGGGGAGGAAGGGACAAAACCCCAACTCCCAAATCAAATTGCCAGTGCCTTGTTGGTGAGGCAAGTGCTGCTGCTGGGAGGTTTCAGGCATCAGGAAAGCACCATCTGTACAGCCAATACTCCTCTAATTTCCAAGAATGTCAAAATAGGACTAAGCCTGAAGAGCTGTTTGCAGCCATCGCACCGTTCTTAGCGAGTTCCACACACCAGCAACGCCCTGTGCTGCTGTGGCAAGGAGAGCTGCAGTATTCAAGCCTCTCCAAAGCACAGCAGCTAAGTTTTAACTCACACTGAGAGAAAGAGAGGTCACATTTGCCAGGGTTATCTATTTGCAGTACAGGTATATGGGGTTCATTTGCAGCAACCACCCAGAGAGAAACACCGTACACAGAACACAATCACACCAAGGTGCCGAAGCAAGGCCAAATAAGTTCTAAAAGCCTTTGACCATGGTGTAAACTGTGCCTCTGAAAAGATGCAACTCCAAGAGACTTCAGGAAAAATATTTTAAGAATAGCAGAGAGAAATTACATGAGCTCTCCCTCCCATCTCCCTCCTTCAGATCCTACCTCAAGACAAAAGTTAAACCCAACCAAGCTGACGTGAGGCACGTGGCCTGGAAGAGCCGGGTGCTCAAAACCCAAATGCTGACCTGGTTTGTTAGCTGCTGACACCACGTTGGTTATACATGTTGGTTCCAAACACCTCTATTACCTGGGCAAGCCTGCTATGTAGGACCACGAATCCTTCTGAGGGCTGTATGTCTCCACGGAGGAAAGTGCCCCATTTTCATTCCTGCCACCAACAGCCACCAGCATGTCGGAAATCGCTCCCAGGTAGAAATCGACACGGCGCTGTCTCATGGAGGCAACCTGCCAAAAAAAATACAGGCTGACATCTTCAAATATCTGGTAAACACGCCGACGTAAGGTATATTTGTGTCTGAGGACAGGATAGTTGCTTCTTCCCATTTATTTGGAAGAGAGAGCTGATGGTTTTGACCATTATCTTGATAAAGCACTTTTGTTTTTCCGTGGTAGCGTGTTACACACCATTCATTGACAAAAAAGGGCAAACCAGAAGGTATCTAAGAGACAGGTTACTCTACAAATGTTTGTGTTATGTGAGCCTCCTTCCAAAAGTCTTCAAGAAACTTATATTGGAACCACTCACACCCACAACTGACCCACACAGGACAATTGGTTCATAAAGGAGCCTGCACTGGCCAGGGGGTTTTACAGCAGGACTGGAAGTGAAGAGCATGTTCTGAGAGACATTCAGCACAGAGACATTTGACAAGCACCAGAGACATTTTTCTTTTTACATCAGACCTGGATTTTATCTAGTTGTATGTGCTACTGCTTGAGAAAGATGAACTAAGCAATCACCTCTCTAAGGCCATTCTAGCATTATTCAATCCCAAAGCAACCTGAAGAGGTGGATGCTGACCAGGAACTTCACAGATGAGATGCTCAGATCCCAAATGAAGTTGAAAATCTGCCCCAAACTCCTTTGCTCTGTGTGTAACTTAAGCATTCCAATAAAGGAGTCATGCAGCTGCTTTTTCAACTTAAATAACTTGACTTTCCATTTGCAAGTGTTGCTGTGTTCACCATTCTAACGAGCCCTGCCCTTCCACCAAAAAGAAGAAAACACTCTCAACATTAAGGACTTTAAACTGAGAAATAAGCTTAATTTAATGTTATTTAAGAATAACAGCTTAAGTCTCACCTTTATCCACTGGTTACAGCGGGGATCATACCTATATAGGAGATTTGAAGCTGCATCCCCTCCATTGTCTCTTGAAAAGCTGCCTCCAGCTATGAAGATGAAGCCTCCCAAGACTGCAACGCAGTGGTGACTTCGCCTGGCCGGGAGAGGGGTTTCTGCCACCCACTGGCCCTTCCTGGTGTCCAGGAAGCAGGTATCATCGCTCAGCTCCAGGCAGCGCTCCGACACCTCCCCTCCCACAAAGAGCAGCCTCTCCTCACAGGTCCTCAGGGCTGTCCTCTTGTTCTGCAGCACGGGCTGGGCCGTCACGTTGTTGTGGTAGTTCACCGCCTCCTCTATGAACCCCTCACAGTTGGCTTCTTTGGGCAGAAGCGAGCAGACAGCAGGCTTGACCCGGTGGAGGAGATCACTTTTGGGTATCAAGGGAAAATGGATGTTATCCAGGACCTGGTAAGCCTCGTTCTCCCTCTCCGGGTACTGGGTGAGCCACTGCAAGGCAGCCTGCAGCAGGTCGTGCTCGCACTCCTGCTGCACGTTGCTGCTGTCCAGGTACTGGCACAGCTTCTGCAGGGAAATGTTCTGGAGGAAGTCCGGGGTGAAGGAGAGCGTGCCAAAGTTCTGCAGGATGAAGGAGTCGATGTAGGAGTCAAGGCGCTTCAGGTTGTAGATGGAGGCGAGCTCCTGCAGGTACAAGTAGTTCTCCTCGCTGACCTCGTTCTCCAGGTACTCGCAGCAGAAGTCCACCACCTTCCAGATCTGCAGCAGGTGAGCCGTTTCCAGCACGTAGTCGATGTTCCCTCCGTCTAAAGACAGCTCGCTGCCGTACAGGAAATCCACCACGGCCTTCAGGCCAATGTAAGAGGCTCCAAAAAGTTCCACCTCTTTCTGGTGGGCTTCTCGCATGCCGATGGTGAACATGGAGTTGAAGTAGTCGCTGCAGACGGCCAGGAGGTTCCGATGGGCTGGGACTCTCTGCTCATCCACCACGAGGACAATGTCACAGAAGAGGCCTCGGTGCCTCTGCTCATTCAGGCTCTGAAGGACGAGACTGGAGTGGTCGTCCCACCTGTACACCTGCCGTGAACAAACAGCAGCAGGCAGATGTTATCTCCACCAAGATAAATTTGAGTGTGCACAGGGCGTTTTCCCATTCGTGCAGTCACACACGAGAGAGAGAAAGCTCACCTCTTTAGCTCATTTATAATAAATCCTGAATTCAAGCAGATGGCAAGCAACACAGCACGAGCCCAAGCTCCTCACCTTCACTTTGAAAGGCCTAGGCAGGCTTCTACTGCTTCCTACTCCCTATTTTTTTTTTACAAGCAACTCCTACCTCCTCCACAGTGCTGCATCCAAACCTCCTCCCCGATGATTTACACAGGCACAGTTTTCTGAAACTCTTCCACTCATTGTCTCTGAGACACGTTGCTGACATTTCCTTTCTTACTTGTCCCCCAAATGACTCCTGACAGAGCTAAGCTACTCAGTAAGTATTTGGAGAGCGAGATGCACATGCAGCAGCATGCCAAATCTTCCTTCAGCTCGTGCATTGTTTGGGTTAGTGCTTACTTGACAGCTAGCCCCTCTTAAATCTTTTCAGAACTCTGCATTTCTAAGCTTGTTAGGGTAAAATCCCTCCTCCTTTCCATATTATTCCAGGCACACACACTGCATTCAAAATTAATAGCTGTTTATTTATCTGCAAAGCCACACATGTGAGTAACAGTCCCATAAGACTTCTACTTGCTTCCAGAAGCTGAGGTAGTTTTGTTTTAATGAATGCAACTAAATATTTTTCTTTTAAAGAAAGGGGAAAATGCCCTCAGAACATGACTGTTAAGTGCCCTCCTGGGATCTCTCTGGTCCAGACATTCTTCCCACTAGCCCTGTACGTGCCACTAAGCTTCTGAGGCAACCAGTGTTGGCCAAACTGGAAATATTTTGTTACCCCTTGAGCACCCTGCAGGACACATATTGAAGGGGCTGGTCACCCCAGTATGTCAAGTGATGCAGCCTCTAGGACCATCCTTCTGCAGGAATGAACTGCTTGATGGTACAGTCAGTTACCTTGTGATCTCTCTTAATAAAAGCCAGGTTCAGTTAAATGCAAATACATAACATTAATTACCAAACCCAGAACAGGCAGAGCTGCAGAGCCTGTAAGAACATGTAAGAGGAGTGAAAGGAGGTGGAAAGGGAACAGCTCTGAACAGCTCTGGCTGTAGGACCCTGTGTCTTGCCCAGTCCTGCACCCTCACACTGCACTCCCAGAAGTGACACCCTGAGAAGGTGTCTCAGTCCATAGCTACACTGGCAACCATCCTACACAGGGCCTGAGGCCTTGTCAAGCCTCTCAGGCTTTCAACCTTTCCTTCACTAAACTGTTGCTTCTCCTTGAAATCTTAGCTAGCTGCAGCTTCCCTGGTTTCCCAAACAGAAAGCACATGATTATTGCTGTCTGGCTAAGCCATTAATGGGTTGGTTAAATCATGGTGAGACAACTTCTCTACCCACCTGGATGGTCTCCTAGGGCCAAGTTTCTTGCCCTGCAAGAAACCCTCACTCCAGACACGCTCTCCATGTCCATAATTTGGTAGCTGCACTTTTACACGATGAGATAACCAGGATGAAGGCACACAGCTCACCACTGCCCAGACGTGAGGGCAGCCAATGCCAACCTTGGGAGCCTGACCTCCCACGTCTGCCTTCAGTGGTACAGCGACAGGCAGCCCACCAAAGATGAGGCCCAAAGTACAAACCAAACGTGCTGCTCTTCGCTGAGATCCCAGGGGGTTCATTTTGGTTTTGTTTACGCTCTTCTCTAAACAATGGAGATGAAGCTGCCAAAAAGCCTTCTCTTGGAGTAACTTTGTACGTGCAAGTGTGTAGTTAAACCAATCTAAGTCAAGAGGCTTCAATAACTACAAGTTTTCTGGACCACAGCTCTTTAATTTGCCTTATCATTGCCACACCGTATCTCTGAGCTCAGAAAGGATCTATGGCATAGACAACAAAGTAACTTCCACTGAGGAGTAAAACTGCCACAGATCTGTAACAGAAAAAAAAGGGGGGGGGGATGTTTAAGGACTGTAAAGTCTTTTATTTTCATTTTTCTGAAGTTGAGAAATGCTGATCTCATACAGGAGCCCAAGCAGAGACCAGGGGAAGGAAGAGGTGAGAAGGATAAATATGGCAAAGGACAAACCACACATTGGTGGCACCTAAAGGCCAGTGAAGGAGCAGACAATAACTGACATCTTACAGCACCCTCCTCTGAATCTGGCTCACTGGATTACACTGAAAGCACAGTCCCTCTCAGCTCTGTCACCTGCCAGGTCGTTTCTCTCCAATATTCTCCAATCCCACCATCGAGCATAACGAGATTACACCAGAATACCAGATCTGCCAGAGATCCCTATTTACTCAGCTGCCTGTTGAGTCAGCAGCATAATCCTGACTGCAAATACGCCCGACAACTCGTACTCTGAAAATCCTTCTTGCCATGCAGAGCTGCTGCTGCTCCAGAAATCAAGCAGAAAATCATCACGTGTGGCATTGGAGGCACTCAGAATGTATTAGCACGTTTCAGCCACTTAGCAAATTCATTCAGCAAGCAAATAACAGAAGCTGGTAGCTGCACATTTCAAAACCAAGACTAATTTTACACTAAGCACTAACATCTTTTTCAGGCTATTTATATTCTGTAGAACAGCTTTAGCATTATCTAGTAACTCTAAGTTTAAGAGAGAGTGACAGCTGCTGTCTAAGCAAGAAAACAAAACGATGCTGTCAAGTTAATTAATTTTTAATGTGATGAATTATTATTACATTCAGACCAAACCATTCAAATGGTAGACAGGATCAGCACTCAGGGAAGGATGATATTGGGAGGGATGCATTTACAAATTAGTCCTATCTATCTTTTATCAGTTGTATTTGTGCAGTACCTAAACTTCTTTGAGGTTCAAAGACCTGATTTCTTTCAGATTGTTAATGCAGTACCACTGCCTGTCAGAGATGCAAAAGAAATTGAGATCTGTCTCGTTTCACTTTGATCAGACAGGCACCACGAAGTTTTTATCTTCCAGCTGTTGGTGGTTGAGCAAGGTACTTGCTCTGCAGCTTCTGTAATCTACTGCTCCCACCAGCAGAGAAAATCACTTCTCACTGGTTTGGAACAAAGCAAACATAATAATTACAGCTGATAGTAACACCTTATGCACCTTAGGTCATCATCCTAAAGAGCTACCTAAGGTGCACTTCTGTAGATTCCCAACTAAAATCACTCTATTTGTGCAGACAGAGAAATTAACCTCACAAACCCAGGAAAACATCTCGAGTTTGCTGAAACAACTACTGCTATCCTGCAGGATGGAGGCTCCTGTCTTGTACAAAACAAAGACTAAATCTAAAAGGTCTGAGATGGATCAGTATGAAAAATTCCCCAAACACACACACTGCATTTAATGACTGAAGTTTTGCTTTGACTGTGCTGTGACGATGTGGGGTTTTTTTAAGTTATGGCTCACGATGACCAGATGCCCATTAGCTGCTGCTGCTGCTGCCTTTTCTTTTTTTTTAATCACTAGCTAGCAACTTCTTCTAGGTAGACGACCGTGTTCAAACCTCTCTTTTTAAAAGCTCAGAATATTCACATTCCTCCAGATTAGTCTATCCGAAGGAAAGCCTTCCCCCCTCCCCCCCCCTTCTTATTTCTGTGACTTGATTTTTCGGTAGGCAACACAAAATGCACAAACCTTTGAGGATTCACTTATCTTGTGTGGACGACAAATCCTGGTTTGCCTGGTTCCCTCCATGACAGGCTGAGCCGCGGTACTTCTAGAACAAAAGCAAAGCCAAGCCGTTAGCAGCACTCCAAGCCTTTCCCCCCGCTAAAAAACCCACAGTGTGCTGCATAACTAACGCCGTTAAGACCTGCACACGCTAAGCCGCAGCTCGAAAACGTCCGAGTTTAAAAAACCATTTCTTTCCTCGCTCTCGGATGTGGTTTCGCCGCGTAATTCCCGCTCGGTTGTGTCAACAAGTCGGCCGTGCGCGGGGTGTAGCGGTGCGAGGTGGGACTTACGGCGGGTT